CAGGAAGGTAAGTGTGTTGGGATCATCACCTGCCTCCCAGCCTGGAAGCGAGTAGGGGAGCCCAGGCTGCTGAGGGAATTGCTGCTGGGGTGGGAGCAGGAGGTGTAGAGAGGGAAGAACATCAACCAGCTACTCTTTGGTGCTTTTGGTGCTTTTCTCTCCACCTTTTGGAAAGGAATGAGGGGAAAGATGTGAGGGGAATTCTTCCTCACACAGGGTGTGAGGAAGAATGTCATTTTGGGGGCTCTTGGGTGTGTGCTGCTGCCTGCTGCAGTGGGACACAATCTTGTTTTGCAGGGCTACGTCTGCTACAAGCCAGTGGAGCAGCACACGTGCTACCTGAGGAGGATGGACACCTGGGACCTCCAGGCCCTCCAGATGTCTCTAAACACGTCTGAGCAGCAAGTGAGTAGCTGCTGCAGCCATTGAACTGGGCTTTGCATGGATTCCTGGCTCAGTGAAGGCTCTTTCCTGCCTGGGTTTGTGTTTGTGGTGCTCTTGTACACCCACATCCCAAATGGCTAAATTTGGGGCTGGGTTCTCCCAGCCGGGGTGGAGGGGTGGCAGCCCCCTGTTGGGTGATATTCTCTGCTCTAGGGAGGGTTTGTTTGGCACCTTGTGGAGGAGTAGAGCTCTGCCTGGCAGTGCTGGGCTCAGCATGAGAGCTCAGGGCAGCAACTCCCAGTTTCACTGATTCCATGTCCTGTGGGAAACAGCAGAGTTGCAGGGAAGGGGGATGTGTCCCCCCCGAGGTGAACAGCAGGGCTCTCGCAGGACCCACTCCCACTGGATTCTGTTACCTGCTTGAAAATCTGGGGAACAGAACACAAAGGGGGTTTGTTAGCGACTGCCAGGGGATGGAGTTGGAGTAACTGATGTACAGACCCTCTGAACACAATGTTAATGGATGCACGGGCAGGGGCAGATTCTGTTTCAAGGAGACAGAAGGTCTCGTGTTTTTGTGCCCCTGCCACCTGCTCTGTTTCCTCAGCAGCTCCTGGGGGCTCCCTGGCCCTCACCTGCTGCTCCCACCTATCTGGGAGGCCATGGGCACTGTTTAACCTGGAGGACTGTGGGAACCCAGCACCCATGAGAGCAGACTACCAGAGGGGAAGCAAAGGAGAAGCATCTGCCAGGCCCCGAGACTCCTTAATGTAGAGGAGCTGGGGGTGGTGGGGCTGGCAGCAGCCCCTGTGGGGACCCAGCACTGAGGAGTCTCAGCTCAGCCCTGTTCTGTCCCAGCCCACAGGCTGAGGATGCTGATTTTCATCACTCACAGAGCTGCCTGCCTGTGCCAGGGCAGAGTCTGCTCCTTGGGTGCCCTGAGAGCAAGAGCAGAGCTGTGGGGCTTGGAGGAGGTAAGTGCTTTGGAAGGGACTAACAGGGACATTTTTTTCAGGCCAATCAGCTGCTCCATCAAAACAACCAGACCAAGTACTACCGGGAGTTCCTGGGCATCCTGACAGGGGAACAGGTGGACCCCAAAAGCCTGGGGGAGGCTGTCCAGACCCTGTGTGAGCAGACATCCATCTTCTGGGTCAGGAGAGGGGAGGGTAAGTTGTACGTGGTGTGTGTAGCATCTTTTAAGAGGAGCAGGCTCTGCTGTGCAGAAGTTGCTGCACATCCTGGACAGGCTTCCCAGGACAGGGACAGGTGACCTCTAGTCCAAAATCAAACCATTGTTGCCTTAACATGGGTCACTTTTGTCTTCACCAGATGCAGCTGGCAGAGCTTGAATTCAGTTCTGTCTTAACTGCAGCTTTAATGAGAAGGGTCATTCCCTGAGGCTTCCCACTTGTTTGGCTCCCCAGGGACTCTGCAGGACTGCAAAGCATTCCTCTCACTCTGCTGCTGTCCTTGCTTATTTGGCAGGTCCAGGGAGGCAGCGCCTGATCTACCTTTGCATCGACATCTGTTTTCCAAGCAACATTTGTGTCTCAATCTGCTTCTATTACCTCCCTGAGTAAGTCCTGTGGCAGTGGATGCCCTCTCACTGCTCTACATACTTGAACTGGATTCCTGAAAAGCCTCTGATGTCAACAAGAAAGGTAACATCTGCAATATCCTCCAAAAGCTTCCTGCTGATTTCATGCTGCAGTTCAGGGGAGTTTAGAACAATAAGAGGACTCTGCTTCATACAGACACTTCATTTGCAGCTCCAGGACTGCCTTGTCCATAGGTAGTAAGAGATCCAGGCCTAGAGGAATCATGTGGAGTAGCTGCTGTGCATGGTTAAGTGCCTTGTTCAATACAAGGGCATGACACTTGTAGGGGTTGGCTTTACGAGTGCAGCTCTCCAAGTCAGTCTGTGAAATACGCTGAATAAAGGGATTGCAAAACAAGAAAACAGCTCCTGCCTTTCCTCTCTTTGCTCAGCCTCCTCCATCATGGAGAAAGGCTGACGTTTTAGTTATTTATTTCCCACTTTGTGGTACAAGAACATCACGAAGCTGTCAGCAGCCATGCCAGAGGGATTCCTCCAGCTGAAGCACACCCAGCTCCCCTGTGCAGGACCATGCCTCCCCCTCCCATTTCCTTTAGTCCCAGCAGCTTCCCTTGGAGGCCACAAGCTTCAGTAGGGACCTGCTGGGGCTGGAGCCTGGTGCCACCCCAGGCAGATGCAGCTGCTTCTGCCAGAGACCCAGCCCTCTCCCTCAGAGGAGGGGATGGTTACATGTGTGTCTCTTGGGCCACTGTAGGACAAGGGAAAACAAACAGATCCTCTTCTTCCCAGGGTGGCTGCTATCCCAGCACGCTGTCATTGAAGGCCAGGCAGACAACAGCCTTCTGGTGCCCACTGTATTCCCGCTTGATCTCCCCTGTCTCCACACACCAGAGTCGGGCCAGGTTGTCAGAGGAGGCTGGAACAGAGTGGGATGTATTGCATTAGCCTTTATACTTTTTCCCCCCCGTTATGCTGACTTCCCTCTTCCTTCCACACCAGGATTAGTGCTGTTGGTGACAGGTGAGGGGGCTGTGCAGAGCACTTCTGCATTCCGTGGGGTTTTAATGATTTTGGAGAGAAGTTACTGTGGGAATGACAACCTCTATGTGTTGAAGGCACGATCAGGCTGCAAGCAGCGTTGCTCCCAGGCAAAATATTGCACACATGGAGATCATCTCTGCAGTCTAAACAGCTGCTGTTCTGCAGCACAGGGAAAATGCTTCAGGGAGTGAGTAGCTGTGCTGCGGGTGGAAGGCTGGGTGCTCCCTCCTCACATAGTGCTGCATGAGGGCTTGGCAGTGTCCCAGCTAGAGAAACTGCTGAGTCTTGTGCTAGTGCAGGGCCCTGGTGCAGCCCAAGCTGTGGGCCAGGGTAGGAGCACAGCAGCACCTCACCTGTGACAATGTACTGGGAGTCCCCGGAGAAGGCGCAGTCCCACATCCAGCCCCGAGACGTTTCCCCTGGGTTATTGCTCTTGATGCTCAGCTCTGTCATCAAAGAGAAGTTTGAAGTCCTCCAGATCTTACAGGTCTGATCTGCAGAACATGTAGCCAAAAGCCTGCAAAGAAGAGAGAGGCAAGGTCAACCCCATGAGTCACACCATGTGCCAAAGGGCCTGAAGACTGTGGGCCTGGAACAGGCATGAACTGGAGACCTGTGCTGACTGTAACCAGATTTCTTGACACCTGCATCACCTGAGATTCGAGCAGAACAAACTCAGTGAAGGAGCACACCAAGGTCACCACTTTGCTCCCAGTGATCAGCAATTTGATCCCAGCTACAGTTCATGGCTGCAAAGCTTGCTGAGACCATGGAGCGCAAGGCTGGGATGCTGCTGCCAGCAACCCATTCCCAGCGTGTCCTGTGCCTCCTTCCCACTCCTCCCTGGGGGACCTGGAGGGCAGCGTGAACCCGCATCAGCCAACAGCTGGAGGCACAGCTGGCCTCTGCCTACCCAGGAAGGGCTGCCTGTTCCCAGGACAGGTAGGTTGTGGCTGACAGGCACTCACGTGGAGTCGGGACTGAACTTGCACTGAAGGGCGTAGCGGTTGTGCGCTGGGATCTTGGTCTTGGGGATCAGCTGGGTCACCTCCTCTCCAATGCCACCCGTCAGGTTCCACACGTAGCAATTTCCCTGTGGTGAGACAGAAGGATCTGTGCCCAGGCTGGTGGTCACCCAGCCAAAGCAGCCACTGGTCCCAGCAAACCTGTTGCACACATGGAGATCATCTCTGCAGTCTAAACAGCTGCTGTTCTGCAGCACAGGGAAAATGCTTCAGGGAGTGAGTAGCTGTGCTGCGGGTGGAAGGCTGGGTGCTCCCTCCTCACATAGTGCTGCATGAGGGCTTGGCAGTGTCCCAGCTAGAGAAACTGCTGAGTCTTGTGCTAGTGCAGGGCCCTGGTGCAGCCCAAGCTGTGGGCCAGGGTAGGAGCACAGCAGCACCTCACCTGTGACAATGTACTGGGAGTCCCCGGAGAAGGCGCAGTCCCACATCCAGCCCCGAGACGTTTCCCCTGGGTTATTGCTCTTGATGCTCAGCTCTGTCATCAAAGAGAAGTTTGAAGTCCTCCAGATCTTACAGGTCTGATCTGCAGAACATGTAGCCAAAAGCCTGCAAAGAAGAGAGAGGCAAGGTCAACCCCATGAGTCACACCATGTGCCAAAGGGCCTGAAGACTGTGGGCCTGGAACAGGCATGAACTGGAGACCTGTGCTGACTGTAACCAGATTTCTTGACACCTGCATCACCTGAGATTCGAGCAGAACAAACTCAGTGAAGGAGCACACCAAGGTCACCACTTTGCTCCCAGTGATCAGCAATTTGATCCCAGCTACAGTTCATGGCTGCAAAGCTTGCTGAGACCATGGAGCGCAAGGCTGGGATGCTGCTGCCAGCAACCCATTCCCAGCGTGTCCTGTGCCTCCTTCCCACTCCTCCCTGGAGGGCAGCGTGAACCCGCATCAGCCAACAGCTGGAGGCACAGCTGGCCTCTGCCTACCCAGGAAGGGCTGCCTGTTCCCAGGACAGGTAGGTTGTGGCTGACAGGCACTCACGTGGAGTCGGGACTGAACTTGCACTGAAGGGCGTAGCGGTTGTGCGCTGGGATCTTGGTCTTGGGGATCAGCTGGGTCACCTCCTCTCCAATGCCACCCGTCAGGTTCCACACGTAGCAATTTCCCTGTGGTGAGACAGAAGGATCTGTGCCCAGGCTGGTGGTCACCCAGCCAGAGCAGCCTCTGGTCCCAGCAATGCTGGGGTGTGCAGAGCAGCTGCCTCTGCCCACAGCAGGCACAGCCCAGCAGCCCCCACAGCCCCACCAGTCCCACCCATGGCTGAGGCCCCCAGAGCTCACCGAGCTGTTGACAGCTGCCATGTAACTGGCATCGGGGTCAATGTGAACGGAATTCACGGAGACTTCAGGCTCTGGAATCAGCTGCTCATTGTGGTCTGTCTTCAGGTCCCAGATGTGAATGGCCCCACTCTGATCACCCACAATTAGCTCTGCCTGCAAGAAAACAGCAGCCTCAGTGCTCTGAGGAGAACCCCTCTAGCTGATGCCCAGACCACACCTGTGCAGCACAAGGAGCCTTGCTCTGGTTTTGAGCCTCAGGGTCTTGTTCTGCCCCATCCCTCCCCAGCAGTGCTGTTCCAGAGCTCCAGCAGCCTGCTGACCACCCCTGCATACCCAGAGCAAGCGAGGTACTGAGCTCCACAATGCTCTGCAAAAAGGTTGTTCACCTTTACAGAAGTGTTTGCTAATTTTACAAACCCCAGAGCAGGCAGTAGCTGCCTGAGCTCTAGAACCATTGCAGAGCCACAGCTCCAAAGAGCAGCCACAGAAGCCAAGTGAGTTTCAGCACGTCTGAGAAGTGGGCATTAAGATGCAAGTTGGCCAGTGAACAACTGAAGCACTCAAGAATCCACAGATAGCTGAAAAACATGAGCCTAAATGGGTTTTTCTCTCTCTCCCCGCTTCTCAGGGGAAGGATAAGAGCCAGCTGAAGGGCAGGAGTTCTGGCTCCAATCCCGTGCTCAGACCAGAAGACAATGCTGGCAGCCCTCACTGAAACCAGGGCTTTTATCGACAGGCTTGTGCTGTCCAGAACTTTAGCAGGATCCCTAGAGGAGATCAGGTCATCAGGCACAGCTAATTCCGTGCTGTGAGCAAGGGCCTGTTTCTGAGGAAGACAATCCTGGCTCGATATATTTAGCTGATTGCACAGCCCAGGAGCGTCTTCCCGACGCCTCAGTCCTCAAGCCCCCGCCCAGCAGCTCTAAGTGCAATTGCTAAAGCTACCACAGCTTTACCCAGGCCCTGAGAAATCTCTCTGGGATAACTGGATCAGAGTGGTTGCAGCAGGGGATTACAGAGTGATGGAGCTTTCTGCATAAACACTGCCACCTCTGGGCTCAGTTAACTGCAGTCTGCTCACAAGCCAGCTCAGCAGCATCTTCCTAAGTGATTATTTCACATGTAAGATGTACACACAAGAAGAATATTTGTTCAAACATAACACGTTATCACAGCACCAACCCTACAGGAGCATCAGCAGCATTTATCTAAAGTCTGATCCAAACAACTGATCTCAAATCTAGTCTGAAATTCAGGATTTGCAACGTTAAACCTTTGCAAAATCACAAGGTAAGAAGCATTTCTATTAATCAGCTTTTTAAAAAGACTTGAGCTGCAGTGTCTGCACCCAACCCAGAAGCCCTGTAAGTACAAAATGGACCAGAGAGGTTATTAATGCTGCAATGATATGTATTGATTTTCCCCGCCCTCCCCTCTAATGCACCTTTTAGCTCCTTTCCCAGCCCTTCCTTTGTTCCTCAACAGCTGCTGAACTGACTGGGAAACCTCAGGCAAATCTGACAAAAGTCCCAAAGGTAACAGGAGCTGTGGGCCCCGAGATGCTTTTTCTTGGCAGTGCTCTCCCAGCCTGCCCTGTGCCACCAGCCCCACTGCCATCGCGTCCCCTTGGATGTGTTCTTGGATATAAATTGCCCCAGAAGAGTGTGGGACAAGAGATCCAGCGCAGCACTGCCCTGTCTCTTTGGAAAACCCCGCAGGTAACCAGCACAAAGGCCCTGGCTGGTAAACGAGCTGAGGGCACAGGTGCTCACCTGGTTGGGGTGCAGGCAGACGCAGTTGATGGGCGCGTTCACCTGGAAAATCCGCTGGCACTGGAGGTTCCGAGACCTGCAAGGAAACGGGGAGGAACGAGCACGTTCGGGAGTGTGTGACCAGCTCCCCCAGCCCCGGGGGCTGCTGCAGGGGGTCCCGCCACCTCAGGTCCCAGATGCGGGCCATGCAGTCCTCCCCGCCCGTGTACATCCAGCGCCCGTCCTCGTGGAAGCCCACGGAGGTGATGTTCTTGCTGACGCCGTCGTAGTTAATGACGGGGTTGGGGTTGTTGGAGTTGAGGTCGTACATGCGGATGTGCTGGTAGCCTGGGGGACACGAGGGGCGCGGGGTGACCCACGGCCCCCTGCCCGCGGCGGGGCCGGGGCCGCGGGGGTGGGCTCACC